AGAGAGAGAGAGAGAGAGAGAGAGAGAGAGAGAGAGAGAGAGAGAGAGAGATATGTGGTGACTACACAGGAGATTCTCTTAGTGCTGAGGATGTGTACCCCAAGATCAGGCCAGTACAGATGCCTAAATACTAACAGGTGTACTAGCGGGAAGGGAGCTGGTCCAAACAACTAGCTCCAGGCAGCTGCAGGAGCGAGTGCTCCAACACTGTGCAGGATGTGGGCAGGACCAGGCGACCCTGCAAGGGACAGGGGTTGGCAGAGCCTGAAGGAGGAAAAGGGTGAGGTAGGAACTGAACACCAAGTGGTCGCAGATGCTGGAAATTGACTCAGGGTGGTTGGTTCCTTTCTAAGTCCTGGGCCTGAAGTCAACGTGGTTGAGCTCTAAGTGTGCATAGTCCCATGAAGACTGAAGAACATGAAGACAGACATAACCTAGTGCGGGAGATTTGTCTGTATTCTGTCAATCTATTTATTTTGAATAAATGCTTATTGGTCTAAGCAGGAATGGCTGAGAGAGCTTATTGCTTCCCAGAATACTCCTGTTCTCTTTGCTCCACCTTTTCTTCCTATCTGGTTTACCCACCTATACTTCCTGTCTGGACAAACAGCGTTTATTTAAAACATGATTGATAGAATACAGACAATTCTCCCGTACCACTTCCTCCTCTTTTTAAAAAAAAAATAAAGGAAAATATCATCATGGGTATACCTGCACAAATAAAGACAGACAATGGTCCAGCGTATGTATCTAAGAAAATGAAATGCTTTTTTGCTTATTATAATATAAAACACATTTCAGGTATACCAAATAATCCTACAGGTTAGGCAGTTAAAGAAAGATCAGATCGTACAATAAAGGATATGCTGAACAAACAGACAGGGACGGAAAATACCCCCAGAAATAGATTGCATAATGCTTTATTAACCTTGAATTTTCTTAATGCTAATGAGAAAGGAACAACAGCGGCAGAAAAACATTAGATAATGGAAAAGTCTGCTGAACTAAATCAACTGGTTTATTTCAAAGATGTGCTGACTTCTCAATGGAAGCCAATGTGCTACGTTGGGGAAGGGGTTTTGCTTTTGTTTCCAAAGAAGAAGAAAAAAATGTGGATACCATCAAAATTAATAAAGGTTCGATTTGAAGAGGAGAAACCTTTTGGAAAGGAGAAATGATGGCTCATCCACAATGATGATAATCATACAGGTGATAAGAAAAACATATAGAATGGGGTCAGGGTTTTGTTCTTATCTCTGCAGGAAAACACTCATCTTTGAAAAATTTAGGGACCCTGGATGTTCGGATACTGACAAATGGAAAAATAACTATCCAATAGTGACTGTCAAGAAAACCGAACAGGTTCTATAAGTATAAAAAATGTAACATATACTATATTATATTTCTAAATTTATAGAGCTGGTTTTGGAGTTGGAGTTAGTCCCTCTCTAATTCCAAGCCTGTTGTTAAGAGAAAAACCCAGAGTTTCTGGAGTTTCTGTCTCATGGCAAGAGCTATGATATGGGACAGAAAGAAACATGAGTTTAGAAAACATCTTTACTTTTCTTCATATCTATCATACCTTTCATTGAATATATCTATCTTACCTTTCATTGAATATATGTATGTCTGTATATGTCTATAAGATTAATGTTTAAGTTTTCCACAATGAAAAATGAGTTTTTCCTGCAGTGACATTTGAAGTTTCCAGGAAGAAGATGGGGCCCCATAACAACAAGTCCACCTGGTTGATATGACATCATGTTACTGACAGTGCTATTACAAGACCAGTTTTGGGTACCAGCTGCACAAGACGATTCCAACTTGGTTAGCTGAAATGGTGCACATCTTGTAAAACATTCTGGACAGACCTCCACAAAATACTCAGAGACTATTTGTAATTTTAAAAGACATTGATCTTGAAATTTATCCACCATTTTGCTTTCACAGAATCCCCCAAAAAGAACGTCGCCGCCATGACAACTGGAAGTAATCTTAGAGGACGATGTCCCCTCTCCCAGTAAAATTTGTCCTTGGGTTTAGGGACATCAAAGCTAAATTATATTGACTATTGTATGCATTCATGCTTCTACCTCTGTTAAAAACAATTTTATGTATTGATATATATATTATATTCATATATGTATATTTACCATATTGCAGTGTACATTCTACCCTGATTAAGATACTTATATATTGTTTATGTATTGATATATATATATATTTACCATATACTTGTACATTGTTTACATTTGGAGGTCATATGGTCTTCATTTATTGTACAGTTTTTTATTGTCTTAGTCTTTAAGTTAGATAGGTATTGAGAATTATATAGATCAATAGTCACCTATGTTTTTCGTTTATAGTTAGACTAATCAGGTTCTTTAGATGCATAGAGATTATATTCAGTATCGATAGATATCTTCAAGCTTTTCAAAGAGCTGTAGAAAATGGCCTTTAATCTAACTCAGAGTTCCTTGGTAGTGAGACACAATCGCTCCTGGCAACACCGATCTATTTTTGAGAGAATGTTGAGCACCAAAGACACTCCACCTGGAGCCTTGCTTCTTGGCAGAACTGGCCTTTGGACAAAGAAATGCCAGTACCTCAACTACTGACAGAGATACAGAGTATCCATAAATGGATAAAACAGGACTGTCATATCCTGTCAAGACAGGGTAAGATAGTTTTGAAAAGTTTCTTGCCTTTGAAAATGGTATGTCAGTTATGTTAGGCCTTAGCCAAAACTGTTTGCTTCAAAGCTGCAAACGTGATTTTGGGTGGTTGCCCAGATAGCCAGTTGTCTCTGTGATTTGTTGCATGTTTTGGAAGTTGTTTGATTCCACTTCCTAATTACTCAGGTAACATTATTTCCCATCTCAGATCTTCGATGGGGTTGAAGACTATATAAATGTAGTCACTTTCCTCTCATGACTTGGCCAAGTTATTTATTATACAAGACGACTTAAGCTAGTTAGAATAGGATATTTGTACTTATTGTATATAATTTCATAGTAGGTTTAGAACTTCCTTGTTGAAACAAAAGGGGGAGGTGCTGCAGGAGCTCATTCTGCTCCTTCAGCAAACAGCTGCTGAGATACCAGCCCATTGGGGTGTGTTCTCTCTCTCTTTAAAAAAGCAGCAGCATCCCTCCACTCCATCTCTGGCTTTCGGCTCTTCTTCTGGCTCCTAGACTCCTTTCCTGATCACGCAGAGGGCTGTTGTCTGGGATGGTGATCTGTAAGTTTTTCCCCTTTAAATAAATAACCACCGACTGTCTTGAGCAGCCAGCTGGAACTGATGTGAAAACATTACATTTTATCATTCTATCACATGACTTTAACCTAAGGTTACATTGATTTAACAAAAAAGACATCTGCTTTTAAAGATTATGACTTTCTTTGCTTTTGTGCAATAAACACAGGCCTTTCTTATATTGTGCATTGTGGTTTTTAGCATGTGAAACAAAATAAAATAAAAATCTGAAAAAACAGATAAAAAATAAACAAATAATCATTCTATTAATCATAATTACAAACTGGTGTGGGATTGTTTGTGACTTACTCCTTCAATAACCAGAGCCTAGATAGGAACTGAGTCTACCTGCCAGGGCCCAAGCTTTGGGCAGAGGCACATAGAGGAGAGGCAGCAGGGAGGGGCCACAAAGACAAAGTTCAGTCTCAGGAACATGAGCTAGTGCTGCCAAGAGGATGGGAACCTGATGCTGTCTGTCCATAGGACCTTGTGCTTGGTCGAGTCATACAGTTAGTCACTGCCACTATCCAATCCAGGGACACACATCCAATCAGAGCATGGACGCCAAAATGCACATAGAGACCCACATACAGGCTTAATCCCTGGCTCCCAGGAAGAAGCATCACCACATGGGAAGTTCTAGTTTTCCTTGGGATTTGTGACTTTGGCCATAAAGAGTGAAGTCTGAGTATCTGTGTCAGAGATAATCATCAGAAATGGCCTGTCAAAATGCACTTCAAGAGGGTCCAAAATTAGAGCCGATCCCATCAACATTATTCCAGTGGCAGCCGCTGCTTCTGTGCCTGTCTCAGCCACGTCCAGCACAGCCTTGTGGACCACCTGTAGGAGAAAGACATCACTCACTGGAGACCAGGGAGGGCAGGAGAGGAGATTCCTGGAGCAAGCATTGACTGCTGGTCTCAGACACTGGTGAACTTGTTTGTTCCTTCCATGAGCTCTATCCCTGGGGTTTCCAGGTCTCTGCTCAGGGTGTGAGATGAGGCACACCCTGGGAATGCTCAGTCTCTGAGAATCTGTGTTGTCCTAAACCCACCACTATCTGAAGGATGGGAGTAGGCATTTTCGGTTCTTATCCCACAGGCAGCTGCTCAGGAGACTCACAGCGAATAACTAGGCACTGGCAGTCAGTTCAGGCTTCAGCCCCCCTCCTGCTCCAGTCTCCTTAGGACATACAACAGCAATGCAAATGGCATGGCTTCTCTTTCCCATACTGCCACGCCCTGCTGCTACAGATTTCCCGCCCAATGGACTGAACACAAGGCATTGCCAGGCTGTGCATCTGGGAATGTAGTGTGAGGTCCTAAAGTGTCTTCTCCCATATTCATAAGCTTTTTGTCACAATTTCAAGTCAACCCTTGCTGTTTCCTTTACTGTGGCTATTATCTGTGATAGTCAAGAAGTAAGAGGCCAACACTGCAGTGAAGAGGCTGAGACTGTTTTCATTCTTCTACAGGTTGACAACCAGTTATGACAGAACCATTTGTTAAAAAATGAATATAGATCCATATCTATCACCATGCACAAAACTCGAGTCCAAATGGATTAAAGACCTCAATATAAATCCGACCACACTGAATCTGATAAAAGAGAAAGTGGGAAGTATCTTGCAATACACGGGCACAGGAGACCATTTCCTACATATATCCCCAGTAGCACAGACAATAAGAGCAACAATGAATAAATGGGACCTCCTGAAACTGAGAAGCTTCTGTAAAGCAAAGGACACTGTCATTAAGACAAAAAGGCAACCTATTGACTGGGAGAAGATCTTCACCAACCCCACATCAGACAAAGGTCTGATTTCCAAAATATATAAAGAACTCAAGAAACTAGACATTAAAATTCTAAATAACCCAATTAAAAAATGGCATACTCAACTGAACAAAGAATTCACAACAGAAGAATTTCAAGTGGCCAAAAGATACTTAAGGACATGTTCAACTTCCTTAGTGATCAGGAAAATACAAATCAAAACAACTTTGGGATACCAACTTATACCTGTCAGAATGGCTAAAACTATGAACACCAATGATAGCTTATGCTGGAAAGGATGTGGAGTAAGGAGAACACCCATCCATTGCTGGTGGGAATGCAAACTTGTACAACCACTTTGGAAATCAGTGTGGCGGTTTCTCAAAAAATTGGGAGTCAACCTACCTCAGGCTCCAGCAATACCAAACTTGTTAATATACCCAAGAGATTATCAATCATACTACAAAAGCATTTGTTTAAGTTTGTTCATAGCAGGACTATTTGTAATAACCATAACCAGGAAACAAACTATATGCCCCTCAAAAGAAGAACGGATAAAGAAAGTGTAGAATATACACATATTAGACTACTGCTCAGCAGTAAAAAAAAAAAAATGACATCTTGAATTTTGCATGCAAATGGAGGGAAACAGAAAATACTATCCTGAGTGAGATAACGCAGACCCCAAAATACGAATACGGTATGTACTCATTCATTAGTGGATTCTAGCCATAAACAAAGGACATTGAGCCTGTAGTTTGCAATCCTAGAAAAGCTAAATAATGAGGTGAACCCAAAGAAAAACATATAAACATACTCCTGGAAATTGGAAGCAAATAAGATTACCAGGCAAAAGTTGGGAGCATGGGGTGGGGTGAGGTGGGGGGAAAGTGAGATGGGTAGAGAGAAGGGAAAAGGGGGGTTGGGGAGAGCATTGGGGAATGGGATGGTTGAGATGGAGGAAAGACAGATATGGGAGCAGGGAAGAAGATATCTTAATTCAGGGAGCCATTTTGGGGTTGGCAAGAGGCTATGCTCTAGAGGGGTTCCCAGGTATCCACAGGGATGTCCCCAGCTAGGACCCTGGGCAATGGAGGAGAGAGTGCCTGAACTGGCATTGTCCCTTAGTCAGACCTACGATTGTCTTGATTACCACCATAGAAACTTTGTCTGGTGACAGATGAAGATAGAGACAGAGACCCACATCTGAGCACTGGACTGATCTCCCAAGATCGAGGAGAAGAGTGGAAGGAAGGAGAATATGAGCAAGTCAGGACTGTGAGGGGTTTGGTCCACCCACTGAGACAGCATGCCTGATCTAATGGGAGGTCACCAAAGCCAGCTGGACTGAGACAGAATGAGTATGGGATCAAACTGGACCCTAAAATGTGGCTGACAATGAGGCTGACTGAGAAGCCAATGATAATGACACTGGGATTTGTTTCTACTGCATATACTGGCTTTTTTGGGTCTTAGTTATTTGGATGCACACCTTTCTAAGCCTGGATGGAGTGGGGAGGGCCTTGGACTTCAAACAGGGTAGGGTACCTTGCCCTCTCTTAGGACTGGAGGGGGAGGGAGAGTGAGGGAGGGATGGGCAAATTAGAAGAGGGGAGAGAGTAGAAATTTTGAATGGTATTATTTATACAGCAATAAAAAATAAATAAGTAATTCTTCCCACAAAAAAAGAAGCTGAAGCTGGAAGTGCTTTGCCCTACAGTGGATTGTGGGAGGCATCTGCATAAGAGCACTGGCTGTGGCCAGTGAGGCTCCAAGAACAAACACAGGTTCTTCCCTGCCCTAGGCTTCTGGGTGAGCAGTTTTTTTTTCAGAGAATAGAGGAGGGACTAACTACATGGTATTCAGCAGGAGTATCTAGGTTGTAATCATCTCTCTGAGGATGAGGGAATCTCAGAAATGCAGGCTTTCTCACACATTTGCTGCCCCCCCCATACACATGGCCCTCACCATTCCCATTCAGGCACCAATGAGAACCAACCAGTGTGTCTTGTCTTACCCGAGAGACTCTCAGGTTCTTGGCCCCTGTGATCCCAGACAGGTCAGCCTGTGCGGAGAAGACTTCCCTGATGCCCAGCTGATGAAGGATGTCCTCCAGGCTGTAGTCAGTGGAGATGGAGAACTTGGGCAGGTAGAGCTCATCAATTATGCTGAGAATGGAAAGAGAAATGTAAGAGTCAGTGAACTGTGTGTTCCTCTCAACCCACACTGTAGCTGGGGCCACTCTCCCCACACAACCCTCTCACTGGAGAGAAGCCCTCTTTCCATCCCTGTCTACATCCCAATGACTTCGTTTTTCTATGGCATTAATTACCAATGTGTGGTGGAGAGGCAATGGTGCTTGGTATCCGCTGTTCCCTCATTGAATATGCTTTGCCCCCAGATCCACAAAATGCAGTCCTTTCCCTGTCATGTGGACTCAGACATCATTTAATGATCCACCTATTTAAAAATGCACACGCCCACCCAACTCTTTTCTTCCCTATCCTTGGACATCCCCTTCTTAATGTCACCCCTTCTCACCTTTTAACAACTGAATCATGACTAGATGCATTTCCACATCCCCACTCTCTCATTCTCAATTACAAGGAGAGTACACAAGGCTAAGAAACTTGGTGCTTTATTCTCTGATATACTCTCTGGTTTAAATCAGAGCAGAGTACGCATGAGGTCTTCCCATCATCATCCCGCGATGGTTCATGAATGAGAGATGAGTGGATGAGATGACTGCACAGGGCAGAGCTGATTCTCAGAGCTGATATCCTCTCACCCTCACTCCCAGCTGCCTTCCAACACCTATGCAAGATTCCATGTAATTACAGCCAGGTCGGCACATAGGAAAATCAGTGTCTGCTCTAGCCGATGTCATCTTGCGAACAACAAAAGAATGACATTAAAATCGGGCCCCAAACTACCAAGTCAGCAGAGAAAAATTCGCCTCTGCTCCACCTGTCTCTGCTGACTTTCTAATCCTCACGCTGGGTGCTTGTGTGACTCTGAGGTCCATGAACACTGGGCCTCAGGTCATAGCAGGATGTAGAGCCAGGCCAACTCTGGTTCCAGTGTACACGCACCTGGGCCTCAGAGAGTCCCTCCACTTCCTCAGGGTCTCTGGCTGCAGGCTGGCTTCCACCTGCTGCATTCTGTCTTGATCAGGGAGGATGAACAGGGCGCTGGCATTGCCTGTGTACTTCAGCTCCACCACAGTGCAGGCCAGCTCCTCATCCCGGAAGTAGGGTGTGGTTAGAAACTTAAGTTTCATCATGGGCACCTTCACAGTCCTCTCGTTGTCCAAGTAGAAGTTAGACTCAAATGTGGAATCAGGGTTAAAGGTTTTCTTCCATTTCCCTAAATGTGGAGCAGGTCATCAACTGTAACATGAGCAGAGAGACTCCACCTCCAACCTATTTTTGCCCAATTCCTAAGACTTGACAGTGATCAGTCCATATTCAGCCACAGAGTGTCCCTTTCTGATTGTTTAATCTAGATTAGTAAAAAAGCATGGTAGATGCAGAACTAGGAATGAGAAGTGACCCACAGGCTTAGTGTGGAAAGGGATCTCATAACCAAAGCTTCCCTACATAGATGTCTGAGAAACAGGCAGGAATCTGAGGCTGGGTCGTGTCATAGAGACGTGAGATTGAAAATGATGAGACTGGAGCCTGCAGAGAGATGAGGACCTCTCCTTAGGAGGAACCATGTCTAGAAGGTGGTCACTTTGGAACAGGTTTTAGGGAAACAGGACAAGAGAGACTGTGTTCTCCAACATCCTGATCTGTTGATGGTACCCTTCAGTGTGAACTACCTTAATGGAAGTCAGTGCGCAGAACCATGAGTAGGTTTAGAATGAAGATCATGAGATCTGCAACTTCTCAGTGCTGGATTACCATGATCCCACATTTAAATGGTGAAGACATGGGCGAGGAGTCCTCTTCTCCCACGTGGGCTATGTGCACATCCATGAATCAAAAACATACTACTCAGATTGGCCCACATTCCAAGTACATATGGCTATCTGCATTACACCCTAAAAGACTTGATACTTTGACAATTTCTTGGGCTCAGGATCCAGCAGCATAAGTACACATCCCCACCTCACAGGCAAGCGGCCTTGGAGCAGGAGTCCTGTGGCCAGCAGAGAGCCACACCCTGTAGCCTCCTCCTTCAGCCATTCCTCGGTTTCCCCTCCCTTCAGACTGCAGAAGCTCTGGGATCAGCCAGGACTCCATCCTCTACCTTCCTCTGTCTGCAGCCTATTGGTTTTCTGTCTATGGTGTCAGATCCTCACCTCCTCTGCCCTGACTATCCAGAGTCTAGGGTCTCAAGTCCACCGGAGATCTAGTCACATCAGTATTTTCATTTGGCTTCATCCTGTGGGGCCATTACCTCATTCCTTGATTTATCACGCAGGGTTTTGTGGTGTAGAGTCTGGATGTCTCCCCAATAAACCTTTATCCTAAGCAATTCCAGCCTAGTCTTCCAACTCTCAACCCCAGATTCATTTCCTAGGAGTGTGTCTTCAGCACTGTGAGCCGACACACTGCCTGGGATCCTAATTTTACAAACTAAAATTCTACCAAGCAGTCAGACACTAAACACAGACCCCTGGCTGGCTAATACTTTCCTCTCACTAATGGCTTCTCCTATATTCTTGCTTTACCATGTCCAACATGACAGAAAAGGCTCAGAGGAGAACAAGTAGAGAAATTCCCCATGGATCACTTAGATATTTGTCACCCATGCCACTGTCCCCTCAAGGCTGGGACTGCCAGACTTTTTAGGTCAGGAAGACCCCAGAGCACCTGGATCCTCCTAGAGAAGGAGGTTCTCTGGCCTACGGACTCAGTAGGAGCCTATTAGACATGCTGGAGTGGGCTGAGTGAGGGAGCCCTTCTGCGGTAGTTTGAATGCAATTGTCCATAGGGAGTGACACTATTAGGACATGTGGCTCTTCTAGAGCAGCTGTAGTCTTGTGGAGGAACTGTGAGGCAGGATTTGAGGTGTTCAAGTACTGCCCAGGGTCTCCCTTCAACTTTCCCTTGCCTACAAGATGTAGAACTCTCAGACACTACTGTAGGACCACATCCGCTTGCACACTCCCATGTTCCACCATGATAATAATGGACTGAACCGACGAGTTGTATGTGACCCACCCCAACTAAATGTTTTCCTTTAGTTACGGCAGACATGGTGTCCCATCACAGCAGTAGAACACTGACTAAGACACTGTCTCTGCAGGGAGAAGCCCTGACTTCTGCACACTCAGATAGGAGTGGACATGTGGTCTATGTACTCAGCTAGTCAGTACGTTTATGTCACAGTCAAATTTAGCTCTCTCAGAATGATAACTGAAAAGGTGTCCTCTGGTGTATGAACTGGGAGTCTCAAATATATATAACAAAATAGTCGAAAGGGAGAGTAAGGGCTGTTAGCAATAAGAAGTTAGGCACCCATGTTTTTACGGCCTTGAGCACCTCCTTTCCAGTGCTCAGTGTATGAACACAAGGTGCACAGCCAACACCCTCTCCAACCCCCATAAACAGAGCCCATCCTCACCTTTAAAGTAGATGTAGTTCACCAACACCATTAATGTACTCTCATCTAGGTCCGAGATCAGTTCCTTGATCTTCCCCTGGGTCTGTTTCCTCACGTAGTCATTGATGAGGTTTTTGGCCTCATGAGGCTGCTGGAAGTCAACACTTGCGGCCTCAGCCTGGTACAGCGCCCTTGCTTTCTCCTTGAACTCTGCCAGGATCTGCAGGCTCTTTTCAACAAACATGGTGCTGCCTGTGCTGATCTGCAGCTCCTCATTTGGCTGGCTGAGCATGTGGAGGAGCTGTCTAAATCCCCGGTGGATGTCTGCCTCAGGGGTCTCTGTGAGATTGAACTTGAGACCTTCTAGAATCTCTTGCAGGGTGTTGTTGCTTGCTCCCAGGGACAGGACAGCAAAGGCAGCTGAGATGCTGAATGGGGAGAAGACAATGTTTTTATCTGAACACTTTGAAGCCAGCTCCTTGTAGAGGCTGAAGGCGAAGTCAGTGTTGATTGAGGCCAGTGTTAGACTGTCCACTTGTGCCCCATGACTTTGGTTTTCCTGGGTTGCACTGTCCCTTCCCATGGTGCCATCTGGTGGGCAGAGGACAGCAGGGGAGTTTCCAGACATCACTCTGGTATCCTGGTTGAAAAGAGATCCTTTTATCTGGGATGGCCACGTATTCCCTGACCACTTCCTAGTCCTCCCACCTGGACTGCACTGTGTCCCTTTGCTGCCTTTGCGACTGTGCATGGGAGGTGCCCTGGCCCCTCAGATGGCAGTGCCACATCCTCTGCTCCTCTTCACTACAGGAAGAAGTGCTGTTGCTGTAACCAGTTTTCCTAATGGAGAACCAAGACCCAGAGAGATGAAGGGATTGGCCAGGGTCACAGTGTAAGCAAGAGACGACCTAGGGATGGGCTCAAGGCTTGTGTAATCTGAATGTCACCTCTTCTCTTCTGACTTAGCTTAAGGGCTCATTATAAAGCAGGAGACCTCTTCCTTGGCACTTGTGACCCCTAACTCATCACCAACCTCTAGTCAGGACTCAAGGAATAAAACTTAGACCAGCTATATAGCACAGAACCCAACACAACCTCAAATAGACATGTCTTAGAAATCTCACAGCCCTGGGTTGAACCTCAGCGCAAGTATTTGGGAGCATGTGGGGTTGATTGAACACAGCACTGGAGACATCTTGTGCAGCACCTGTGCCTTGGGCCCCTGAGAACAGGCATCAGAAGTATGGGGATAGGGAGGGTCTTACAGTCCTGCCAGGATCCACAGTGCGGTTTGTATCTCAGCTTGGAAGTTCTCCTGATGGGAAGAAAAATGAATGGTGCCTAAGTCTCTAATACCAGAACAAGAGTTCATTTTGGCTCTCAAGATGAATGTGTGGTCACAAGAAATGGGTGGACTTCACTGGCAGCATGGTCACTGACCCTGGGTACGTTGGTAGTAAAAGAGTAGCTTATTATAGGCGTTGTGGGTATTTGTCGGGAATGTCCTGATCACCATCTCCTACATACGACCCTGGACTGGGGCACAGGCATCATACAGACTACATTTCATGGTAAACACTCCCACCCACCTTTAGCCTCTGTCTACTTTGTTGATGACGTCATAGGAGACAGGAGATGCTAGAGAATGGGAAGATAAGAGAGAAGAACAGAGGAGAGAGGGCATAGTGGGGAAGGATGAAGGAGTGGGAAAGCTGAAGGAAGAGGAAGCAGGAGGAGAGGAGGAGGGAGGGGATCAGATGAAGGAGCCAAGGGTCAGAAGTAGGGGAGAGAAGACTGTAACAATATAGGAGGAGAATAGAGTAAGCAGGGGAGAGAGGTGTTGGAGCAGAGCCACATGTCCCCAGGCATGTAACATGCCTGCAGAGAGACAGAGACTTCAGCTGTCCTTACCCTGTGTTTCCTGTCAGATTGATGCAATTATTTCTTTAGAAAACATTCAACAATATTTTATCTCAAAATTAATTCTACAGAAAACAGGCTAGTCTTGTTTGTGTGGCAGACTTGGCTCAGTGGCTTAGCTGTATTAGAGGAGGGTGGGGCCCCTTTTCTTGGCCATGGGATCTTCTCTGGCAGTAAGGTTTCTGACCCCAAGATTTTCTTGTCTGCTGCAAGCATGACAGTGATTCCACCTACCCCACAGGGACTCTGTAAATTTCGTGTCTCCCTCTGCTTCCTACAGCAGCACCTGGGCTAGTCAAGGTCTCAAAACCCCTGTGGAGGATGGGAAGGGGCAGGCTTCATTCACTCTCCAGGAGCAGAGCCCATGGTTCCTCCACCATCTTCCATAGACAGGAAGACCAAAACTGAAGAAAAGATTTTTATGCACCCCAGAAATGTTCCCAGATCCTAGTCCAGTGCCACAGGATCAACTCCTCCTCATCCAACCCAAGACTCCACACCATCACCAGTACCACACAGACCTGAGTTGTCTTCTCCTATGTCCTCTGAGAGCAAGATTCTTGGGAATCACCTGCAGATCTGATGCCCGCTGCCAGTGTCTGTGATGGCTGAGTCCTGATATTACCGGTTGCTGCTGCCTTGTGTGTTATTCTGTCCACTGCACACAGATGCCTACTTATCCCCACCAGGAACTCCTCCCTTTTATGAGGAAATGCTGACACAAAAAAGCTGTGCTTTGTGCTCTGTCTGGAAATGGACTGATGGATGCTTTTTAGTTGATGTGCATTTAGAAGCCCTCCCTAGAGACAACTACTTCCTGATTCA